CCGTTGAAGTCCATTGCCTTGATAGAGCTGAAAAATGAGCCGTAGTATATACCGTCTTAGAATTGAGCGCTTTTTATATACTTGGGTTTTTGAATTTTGAGAATACTTGATTTTTTAGAAGCGCCGTGATCCTGTCGCGGCGGCGCAGGCGCCGATGGGCGATAAGTTGGATTACGATGATTCAGAATTTGATGATCCAAAGGTGAGTTGTGGTTCCCTAAATTTTGAATTTTCTAAGGTTTACAGATTTATTGGAGGTATACTTCTCACCTATGTTGCTAAATCTTTTTTGAAATAAAAGTTAGAGAATTTTCGATTGTTGTCGAATGACTGTTGTATAATTTTTGACCTCCGCCACATTAAGATTTTTTGAACCATTCTGGAGGTCCGTTGTAGAGCTTTGATGAGTTGCTTCCGTGTTGAATTCGTGTGCATCCCTTATCTTTATTCAGTATTTTCTGAATGTATACAAATTGCAAATAGAGCCAAAAATTTTTTCACCTTCTCGATTTTCTGTGAGACGTTTTTGTGCATGTTTCCTTTAACGGTTATGATTACAATATTTAGGTTGCTGCCTTATTCTCAAGTCGTCGTCAATCACGACGGTCTCTACCATCTGTTTCATCAGACGATACCCGATATCACAATATCAAGACATTGTTCAAAAACTTCTGTAACAGGACAAGTTCTCACGGTGTTCCATTTTTGGGGTAAGCGTTATTGCATTTTTAAGCCAAGTGTAAAATAGCTTTAACATCATTTTTTGTGTTTAAACTACATGGCTTAGAAATTTTTTTCAGGTCCCCTTCATTTTTCGGATGGCGGGTTTGGATGGTGGTATGCTTTTGCGCTGCTACCCTTTTCCTCTTCCAGACATATTGGACGCTTTCGGAATATTTTCAGTATCGGACCATAATCGAAATGCAACTTCGATTCGAAGCAGGTAAAGAATTCCCAACCAAAGGCACAAATGCTTATTTTTACTTCCAGCTCCATTCCCGGCAGCTACAGTATGCAACTTGAACGCCTTCAAATATAGTGAACTTATACAGTATGAAGAGATCAAAGAGGGGGTAGGTTTCTGGGTTACGGTAGCTACGCAATTCTGAAGTGCCGTATTTCAGTTCGATTACTGGGAAAGAGTGATCAATGCGCGTGAAATGAATGAGATGTTGAAACAGGATCAAGGCCTAATGAATAAAGTGGATCTGAGGCAGTAAGTTGACGTTTTAATATTTTTGATATTATTCCAATATTTTAAAATCTTGAAAGTTTTCTCACATACTGTACTGTTTGCCTAAACTGCTGTTTGAAAAAAATGGGAACACACTGTTTCTCAGTCCTCAATGAAAGTAAAAATATTCGAACATAATTCAGACCATTTCTGTTTTATCGTCCATTTGATTGATGCCCCGCAAATTTAGGCAAAGTTCCAATGTTCAATCATATATTTTTTGTTTTCTATTCCAATAGATGGATAGAAGCAACGGATAGTTTCAAAAATGGAAAAATTTGGAGAACTCACCTGCCCAAGATTTGTAATTTCTCAAAGTGAAATTTCTCATCTTCTGTATAGCGAGCATGATGAGCGAAACCTTTACCATCAGGCTTAAAATTCTTTACTAGGCACATTTTTCGAGTTTGAAATTTTCATCGTTATTTTTGTGTGGTAGTTGACCGCGTTGGTCAAATTTCCTAGTATGCGTCGTAATTTCTGCCACCAAAAACAACAATTCGTAGAGATTGCTTTATGCAAATGCGGTACTTTATGTGTTTGTTGTTCTCTGTCTTGTTTTTGTGCTATTGTCGAAATTGGGCAAGAGTCCCATCTAGTGGGGTTTCAATACTTTGCCGGAATAAATAAATTAGAGATAAATGTGCAGCAAAAGCTTGGAATTGAAAAAATTGAACTTCTTACACGGCACTGACTTTGATGGGTTCCGCAGAAAATCCTTACAATATT